TGAATTCCCTTTATTGCGGTGTTGATCTTGGATTGTGGATGTGGCATCCCTTTACCTATTGGAGGAGAGAGGCTGTGACTGATTGTGACGACCCTGGAGGGCCTCATTGGACCTGTCGGCTCTTTGATTGCACCCTGGGCTATCCAGGTGAAGGTCCGAAGTGGACCATTGTGTCAGCAAACATTGACTCTTTCTCCACCAACGCAAGATGTCTTCAATGGGAAGCAGATGCATTCTTCCTGCAAGAAGCGAGAGTTTCTGATTCAAACATGGTGAACGCCCAGCGCAAGGCAGCGCTATGCAACATGCACTTGTTTTGCTCTCAGCCTTTACAGCGGCTCCGGGCGAGCAATGGGACTTTCAGAACCCCCTCAGGTGGTACTGCCACGTGTAGCCACCGTGAGGTGACTCAGTTGTTTGAGGACAAGGCTGACCTGTCCGGGTTTTGGCCCACCCTTCGTAGTTCCGCGAGGGTTACAGCCACGTGGCATCAGGTGTCACCAAGTGTCAAGATGCTTGCCTTTAATTTCTATGCTATTGCAAAAGCAGCATCGGAAAGGGCCAAGTTTGAGCGGAACAATGAGTTGCTCGATCAGCTCTTCGCTATTGCGGCTCAGTTTGGGGATATCCCCATTCTCATTGCAGGGGATTTCCAGATGGAGCCAGGGATGTATCCCTCAGTCCAACTGGCGCTGGATCATTGGGGCTGGTCTGACCCTTTGCTTCAGACTGATCAATCTGGTGAGGCATTTCGGCCGTGTACTTTCTTCCAACATGCTGCAATGGATGAAGGTGAAGGGCAGTCATCTATTGATGGCATTTTACTCAACCGGACAGCTTTGACAGCTCTCCTCAAAATGGAAGTCCTTGATCATGCAGATAGACAACATCGGCCTATCCAAGCCACATTTATGTGGGATAGGGTGGAGCAAATTGGCACTGTTCTGCAGCAGCTTGCCCTTCAAGAAGTCCAGATTGCTGATGCCTCTGACCCTGGGTGTCCTGTCAACGGCCTTAGTCAGCAGCTATGGCAAAGCATGGCACCAGCGTTTGAGAGTACTGATGACGCCAACATCAAATGGCAGCTCTTTAATGATTTTGCAGTTCGCCTATTGCTGTTGAATGGTGCATCGTGGGGTAGAGGGCCTCAGACACGTGGACAATCACCGAAATTCCACAAAGTTCGTAGATGTGTCCTTCAAGAAGAGGCGGGTAATCCAGCCTCCCCCAGGCTCTTGCTCTTGCAAGCTTGCCTTCGTTCGCTTCGGGAGCTCACCTTCCGGTTCAAGAGAGATATCACCGGGCCAGGAGATGCCAGAACTTTCCGCAATACACAACACAAGCTCTTACGGAGGATGAAGGTGGCCAAATTGATTTCCTTTTCGGCTCGGCAAATTTTTGTGCATGATCTTGAGCACCTGACGGGGTTGACTCTTAGTGCCGTTGCTGGCGAGATTCGGAACATCAAGTTTGCTGCAATTCAAAAATGGCGTGATGCAATGAAATTGGCCACTACCTCTTTGGCGGTTGGAAAGATTGTTTACCAATACCTCAAGCGGAAGGGCCGTGTCATTGCTCCCAATTTGGTTGAGGATGAGGCGGGCAATGTCCTCTACGACCCTCAAGCTGCCATTGGATCTTATTGCCTCCCAGTGGGACACGGTTTATGCTGTCAACGCATCACATGAGCATGAGATGGACATTCTACGGCAGATCTGGCCCTACATGCGCAGCAAGCGGCTTGAAATCCAGCTGCCACCCATCACTGCACATCAGCTTTGGGAGCAAGCTGCAAAGAGGCGTCCTGACGCTGCTGCAGGTCTCGATGGCTGGCGAACCAAGGAGGTGCAATCACTTCCGCCCAGTGCATTTCAGCCGGTGGCAGCTCTTTTCAACGATATTGAGGCAGGCCGTGTTGAGTTCCCTGACATACTCACCCAGGTCAGAATGGTTATTCACAACAAGGATGGAAGTGATGCTCCTCTCTCCAAGCGTTTAATCTCGCTGCAATCGATCTTTACTCTCCTATACACCGGCTTGCGGTTTGGACAGCTTCAGCAATGGCAGCAAGACATCATGCCGAGCCAGTTGAAAGGAGGCGTTAAAGGGCGACAGATGTCTGAGGTGCACATGACCATCCAGCTGGAAATAGATCATGCTCATAGTTTTGATGGATCCTTTGCTGCTGTGAAGCTTGACAAGTCTAAGTGCTTCGACCCGCTTATGCCTAAGCTCTGTGCGGCCCTCATGCTGGCGTTGGGGCTACCATCCAGTTTAGTCCGTGCGTTCCTTGCCCTCTACACGCGCATGACGCGCTACCTTTCATTCAAACAGTGGACCCGAGAGAAGGCCATCTCCACGCCTAATGGCGTTGTCCAGGGTTGTTCGTTGAGTTTGCTCTGCATCAACCTCCATATGGCCATTTGGATTTGGATTGTGGAGAACATTCCAGGGATTGACTTCAGAGCGTTCATTGACGACACCTACCTCTGGTCGCGACTCCCTACCATTGATGCGCTTGTGGCTGCTGTTCAAGCTACCAAACTGTGGGATTCTCTTTGTGGCCAGTTTCTGAACTCTAGCCAGTGCGAGATGTTCGCAACCACTGGCTCTTTGCGGCGTGCCTTGAAACATGCATTTCCGCAGATGCGCCTTGTTGAGGTGGTGAACATTTTAGGAGCCCATGTGCAATCAACGAAGAAGAATGCTGGTCTTTTCCCGTTGGGAAAACTTCAGTCTGCCCTTCGTGACTGTGAAGCTATACGGACGTTGCCTTGTGATAGCACATCTCGTGCCCAAATTCTGACAACCAAGGTGCTTCCACAGATTGCATTTGCTCCGCAGCTGAACTTTTTACCCAAGCGGCAGCTTGCCCGTCTTCAAAGTGCTATAGCAGATGCTCTCTGGCAGAACCGGCCAAAGTGGCGATCCAAACACTTGCTGCTGTGCATTGTCCACAAGGCTCACAAACTTGATCCTTTCTTGTTCAGGGCTGTTGCAACAATTGTGGAGTCAGTACGGCATGTACAAAGTTCTGCCTTTGCACGCAGATGTTGGCAAGACATCTATGACCAGGATCGACTAACTGCGCAATCCTCAATGACCCAATGTGCCCAGGCATGTCAGATTCTTGATGTGGTATGGAGTGGGGCTTTCTGTTTTACCCTCATGGACGCACCAGCAGTGAACTTCTTGGACTTCTCTGTGACAGACCTCAAGTGTATTTTGAAGAGCCTTGCTGCTAACAGGTGCTACCATACGGCTTGCCTGATGCCAAGGAAGGATATTCAGAAAGCCACAGGGTTCTTGGACCTTTCCCTCACCCTGTCTGCAAAGAAAAAGCTTGCCAGAATCCCCAACGAAGGGTTTTCCTTCCTTTGTTACTGGGAAAGCGCACTGACGGGCTGTACACTTACAAGTGACCGTCTTGCAGCATCGGGACTTGACAGTGCAAAATGTCGGTTCTGTGGCTATGAGAAGGAGGATATTCGGCACTTTGTGGAGCATTGCCCTGCGCTACCTGTTGAGCTTGCTCAACCATCCTCCTCCCCTTTTTTCGGGCCAAACTTTTCGACCCTTAGGGGTGGTAGAGATGTCGCTGGCCTCCATCCGGGACCGCCTTCAAGTCTCTAATACAGCTGAGCCTCCAGGTCAGCCCTTGGGAACAGCCTCTCCGGCCTCCTCAACATGTGTGGACTGACGGCTCGGTGCAGCTTTCGCACTACCCATGGCTCACAGTGGCTTCTTTTGCTGTCGTTGGCCAAGATGGAAGTTTGCTAGACACTGGACGAGTGAGGCACTGGCGCCTCTCCAGCTACAGCGCTGAGCTATGGGCAGTTCTCGCAGCCTTTGCCATGGCCAAAAGCCCGCTGGTGATCCATTCCGATTCCCTTACCATAGTCAACCAGTTCAACGAGCTGTTGAGCACAGACCAGGTCCGGCTCGAGTGGACTCATACAAATTGGTGGGGCTTTCTCCATCTCTTGATCCACCAGCGGAAGGCATTCTTTGAACCACCGCTCCAAATGACTTGGTGTCCTCCTCACTTATTGGAGAGTGTCTCAAGCGATGACGTCACTGATGAAGCTGCAGCAGCGGTTGGTTCAACCAGGCAAGACATTGTGCTGAACAGACTTGCAGACCACTTCGCCAAGCAGTCCATCCATGCCCTTGCTAAAGGGATTAAAGCTGACCTTGCCACGCATGAGAATGATGTGTTTGCACGGCAGCTCTGGCTGGCCAAGATCAACAAGTTTTGCAAGAAGCCTGAAGGAACTGTCCAGGGTTCCTCTCGCCCCGTTGTGGCACCTGCTTCCACTTTGTCACCACGGGAATTATGCCCTCGCTGGGCATGGGATGTCTCGCCAGAGCTTTATACATGGTCTGTTCGCAATGAAGTGAATTTGAGCTTCTCCCCCAAGCCTCAGCTGTCCGAAGTCAACTTCAGGATTTTTCTTTAGTTTTCAAACTCCCTGTGCTGGCGCCTCGGGGAGGGGCTTGCCACCTCAGTGTTTGAACTAGCCGCGTATGCCTTCAAGCTCGGATGGCGTTTCGATTTGCCTAAGGGAACTCTTTGCACGTTCCAGGCATATGCAGCACTGATCAGAGCTGCCTTTTCGTATTGCAAGGCCAAGCATATTGTTGTTGGGCCTCTCTTGCTTGATAAGAAGAATAAATGCAATGGTCGCACCTTTCCCAAGGGTGCATTCGTAGGTGCCGAAGCCTACATCGACAATCCGACACTTGAATTGCTTTGCCGGGCCTTTGAAAAGGGTGCGAAAGCCACACCCTTTTCCTGGTCTATCCCTTTCGACTCTGTTCTCTAGGTCGTGTACAGACGGAAACAGATCAGCAGTGCGGAAGCAAGCTGATCACCATGGACCCTCGTCGCGGCGTGTGAGCAAAAAAGGAAACTCCCCCCGCCGCCCGCCGGGGAAGCTTCCTTGAAGAAGCGCTGCACTAATGATTTGGTTTCTAGACTGATTTTTAGACCCCAAAAGGACATGTGCATTGCATTGCTGCTGTGGTGAGCGCAAAAGGCATTCATGCTTCAGCAGAGGATGAGCGATCTCAGAGTGGAGGAAACGAGACTCGAAGTGCAGTAATGCTTGCCATGGGACAGGCTGGATCGCAGGTGAACTTGAGGGAATGTGTTTTGGTCTTCATGGCTCCGGGCACGGTGGAAACCAACTTGGATGACTTTGGCTCCGTGTCCATTGGGGCTTGCAAGTTGTTTCGACCTGCAAAAGTTGTGGTGACTGCACCTCCTGTCGATGAACTAAGGGCAAGCCTTGAAGGCGCAGGCATCCCCGTGCTTGTTGCAGACACGTGACGTCGCGATAGAGATGGAATGGACTCAGACATCAAACGACAAGTTTCATTGGATATTGCAAGTGACTACTTTCTCAAAGGCACTCAACAAGGCTCTGCCTAACTCTGCCTCTGACCTGCCGCTCCAGATTCAGGTTTGGGCGTCCCAGAAAGCAACGACTTTGCTGCATTCATCGAAGAGATTGTCGTTTTTTGAGCGCTGGCTCTCTGCTGGGGAGACGTCGTTTAAGAAAAAGGGACGTTGGATCGAGACTACCGAATTGCCCACACTCTTCCACTACTGAAAGGGCTTTCTTCCGTGAAATTGCTTTTACTATCTTTTACTACAAAAATTTGCTCCTCCTTCAGGGGCGAGGGGTGAGCACCAGCTCTGACCAAACGGTTGATTGTAAGGGAAGGTGACGCCACCTTCAACTTAAAAGCTGCTGTATGATACGCTTCCAGCTTTGTTCTCTTCTGTCAGGCGACATGCTTCTTTGTGTCGCCAACAAAGACAGAGTCTAAACGGTTGATATTTAATACAGTATATGTTTGGGACACGACCTGGCAGGCAGGTGCGAGAGGCTAAGGCAGTATGATACTGCGTTCGGGTTTTTTGAGCCTCGAAGAACATGTATGTTAGTCAATGAGTCAGTGAATGGGACTCTCACAACCAGCATCAGCGCCAGACCATGGCTAATGAGTGACAATCATGTGTTCAATGAACACTTCGCACTGAACTCTTTTGACGCTCATGCATTGCAAAAAAGCCATACGTAGCAGATATAAGCACTGATTGAACTGAGAAGGGACCATGTGGCCATGTGGTGGAAGCTGACTCGTTGACTTTCCTGGCAATGAAGGATGTGTGGGATGTGCACCAGGTGCGTGGCTGCTTGGACTACGACTTGAAACGCTATGAAGCAATGCGTGCCGGGTAAATCACACATGCATTTGTTACATGTCAACAAGGCCTTGCAAATGTATTCCCACTCAATTCTTGCATAGAAACGATCCTGGGCCAACAGGATTTCTGGATGGTGGGCTGAGATGATGCGGGCTGTCTCCCTTTCTCTCCCAACGCTGGGCTGAGATGGCTCTGCTTTGACTCCCTTTTGTCTTCCTTTGTCTTCCATGGCTCTCTTCTGGACGCTGGGCTGGGGTGTTTCTGTTCGTCTCCTTTTGTCTCCCAGAGCTCTTCTGGATGCTGGGCCACGATGATTTCTTGCCTTTTGTCTCCTTTGGCATCCTTTTGTCTCCCATGGCCAAAAAAACAAAAGGCCAGCCAGGAGATTTGCCAGCAAAAAATCATCAAGTAGCTGCTGAGTTTTTGGGGTCGATGCTGGTGTAATTGTGTTTGTCTTGATGTTCGCAAGGTATGTGTTGTCCTCTTCAACCTACGAGCTTCCAAAAGTCAGGCCTCTTCGTTGTTTAGCATTTGATAGCTGCGAACTGCAATGCACAGTTTGAGGATGACTGGCCAACATGCAGCAATCGAGAGCGCCTTGCCAACACTCTATAATAATAGCAGAGTGAATCTCCTTCAAAGCTTCATCCGCATGCCACTCATCCATTGACGCGGTTTCAAGGTTCCGCGATGATGAAGTAGAACCTGGAGGCCTGAAGCTTCTTGGAGTCAAGGAGAGCCCCTTGGGCACCTTGACAGCACAGCATTGCGAGTTGCCGTGGTGCTTGACACACACTTATAGAAATGCGTACTGATGTGAATGCGGCCAGCCTAAGTGAAAAACCTAAGGGACCAGGTAAAACACCACGAGAAACCTACAACTCCTTCAAGCTCACCTCCAAGGTACAAGCAACTGCGTCACTGCCGATGCAAACCGAAGCGATGGCTGGAATTCTTGTTCTAGTTACAAGCAGGGCCCACGAGGAATTGACTCGGGTAAAACTGCAGGTACGCCAGACTGATCAGGTCTGGTATCGCCACCAGTTGCAAGTGTCTTCGTTGGCAGGAGACTTGCAATGGTGCTCCTGCCCCCTGCGAAAAAACGAAAAGCACAATCAGTACAATCCAAGTGGATCCCTATGACTTTGAGGGACTAAGTGACGAACAAATGTGCATTGTGTGCGCAGCATGGACAAGAGGATGAAGACATGAAGGAGAGGGCAGACGGGGCAAAGGTGTGTGTGTGTGCCCCTTGTAGTCGCAGGGATCCGTTTGGATTGTACTTTTGACTCCATTTTCTTTTTCGTGTTTAAGCAGGGGGTAGCGGCAGATCACTTGGGACCGCTACCAACGAAGACGCCCAAATCAGACTTGCACGCTACGCCGTCACCCTGTCGCTTCGACCTCGACTTGCGCTTTTGGCCCCACTTCCTTTTGAAGATCTCCAGGATCCGGTGGTTCGTACTTGTATGCATATCTATTCTATAAGTGTGTGTGGTTGCAATGAAAAGGGAACCAGATGCACAGGGACAAAAAATGAGCCAAACCGCATTATCAGAACCTGGGCGACCTGAAACCTAAATGTACAGTAGATGTGCACGTACAGCCTAAGGCCAGGACCGATGTGTACGCAGGACATGAAGCAAGGAAAGACATGAAAGAAAGGAAGAGAAAAAGAAGTGTGTGAAGGGGAAAGGGATGAAAAGGGAAACCAATTGAAGGGGACGGGAACCGATGAAACCAAACCTCATTACCAAGACCTAGGAAGACCTGCCTAGTTAGAATGTACGTGCTGTGCGTGCACCTAAGCTCACGACAGACTCCAACGAGTCTTGAACAAGCTTCGGCCGCTGCGGCCACGTACGCTGTGCCAAAATGGCTGGCAGCTTTGACCGCTACGGTCACGTAAAGGCATGAGCCAGCTTGGAATTCAATACTTCGGCAAGTCTTGGCAAATAACTTTGGCGTAAGCCTACTCTGCCCGCTCTGGGCACGTACATCTCCGGGAGATAAAGACAAGCGCTTGTTCAACGGGTCCACAGGGGCCACTCTGCGGGGTCACCCTGGGCTGCCACGAAGCCAGGCACACTTATAGAAATGCGTACTGATGTGAATGCGGCCAGCCTAAGTGAAAAACCTAAGGGACCAGGTAAAACGCCACGAGAAACCTACAACCCCTTCAAGCTCACCTCCAGGGTACAAGCAATTGCGTGACTGCCGAATGCAAGACGATGCGATGGCTGGAATTCTTGTTCTAGTTAGAAGCAGGGCCCACGAGGAATTGACTCGGGCAAAACTGCAGGTACGCCAGACTGATCAGGTCTGGTATCACCACCAGTTGCAAGTGTCTTCGTTGGCAGGGGACTTGCGATGGTGCCCCTGCCCCCTGCGAAAAAACGAAAAGCGCAATCAGTACAATCCAAGTGGATCCCTGTCACTTCGAGGGGCACACACACACGCCTCCCCGAAGGGAGGCAAGAACTAAGTGATGACGACATGAAGGAGAGGACAGACGGGACAAAGGTGTGTGTGGTTGCAATGACAAGGGGAACCAGATGCACAGGGGCAAAAAATGAGCCAAACCTCATTATCAGAACCTGGGCGACCTGAGACCCGAAAGGGGTGAGACGACAGGACGTGAAGCAAGGAAAGACATGAAAGAAAGGAAGAGAAAAAGAAGTGTGTGAAGGGGAAAGGGATGAAAAGGCAAACCAAATGAAGGGGACGGGAATCGAGGGGCACACACACACACACGCACGCACTTATTGACATGCGTGGTGACGCCGCGCGGCAACCTAGGTAACCATATTCCTGAGTGTTCAGGTACGGGGTTTAAACGTCCTGGAGGCCTTGTGGAAAGGAAGGAGGCCAAAAATGGTCAAAATCTCAAAGTTCAGCCCCGGCGCGCGCGCCCGACAAAAAGACACCCGAGCGCTCAAGTCTGTAGAAAGCATTAGCACTTTACATCACTTGATAAGCCTGGAAACAGCCTAAGCAAGGGAAGACCATTGGAGTCAATGTGTTCAAAGCAGGTACACGGAGGTGATCAAGCTCCACTTTCCCCATCGTGGAACAGCTTCGTTGGCGCAGGTATCCACCATGGGCCTGTGCCCCCTGCTTTTTCTAAGCTCAAGCAAAAACCAATCCGAAAGGATCCCTGTGACTCCAAGGGGTACACACACACGCCTCCCCGAAGGGAGGCGAGAAGAGCTAAGGCCAGGACGGATGTGCGTGTGTGCGCGCAGCGAAGACATGGAAAGAGGACAAGACGGGACAAAGCTGTATGTGTTTGCAAGGGGAACCAAGTGCACAGGGACAAACGATGAAAACCCACCTCATTGTAAAGACCTGGGCGACCTGAAACCTGGGTTGAAGGTGGGTTGTGCGCGTGCGTACTAAGGGCCGGGCCGTGTGTGGGCAAAAGAAAGAGATGAGATGACGGAACATGAAGACAGGAAGACATGAAACGAAAGAGGAAATGAAGGTGTGCCAAGGGGAAAGATGAGAGGGGAAACCAAATGAAGGGGACGGAAACCAACGAACCCAAACCTCAATTGAAACACCTAGGTAGACCTTGCCTCGTTTCAGTGTATACGCTGTGTGTGCACCTAAGATTGTGACAGGCCCCACTGAACCTTGAACAAGCTTTGGTCGCTGCGACCACGCGGTGGCGTGCCCGAAGGCGGCTTTGGCAAGCCACCTACGCTCGCTGCGAGCTGCTCTGTACCCGGGCAGGGGATACGGTCGACAAACCCCCGTTCAACGGGCCCACAGGGGCCACTCGTCGGGGTCACCCTGGGCTGACTCGAAGGTCAGACACACTTAGTGACATGCGTGGTGACTCGAATGCCGCTCGCCGCACGGCAACCTAGGTAACCATATTCCTGAGGGTTCAGGTACGGGGTTTAAACGTCCTGGAGGTCTTGTGGAAAGGAAGGAGGCCAAAAATGGTCAAAATCTCAAAGTTCAGCTCCGGCGCGTGACCGACAAAGTGACGACCAAGTCTGTAGAAAACAATAGCACTTTACATCACCTGATAAGCTTGGAAACAGCCTAAGCAAGGGAAGACCATTGGAGTCAATGTGCTCAAAGCAGGTACACGGAGGTGATCAATCTCCACTTCCCCCATCGTGGAACAGCTTCGTTGGCACAGGTATCCACCATGGGCCTGTGCCCCCTGCTATTTCTAAGCTCAAGCAAAAACCAATCCGAAAGGATCCCTGTGACTCCAAGGGGTACACACACACACACACGTGTGGTATGTTTTCCTAGCTTTTGCCTTTTCCAGTGCCCAACCCCTTTGCTGGAGTTTTTCAATTTCTAGGCTTTTTCCCGCACCATCAAGCTGCAATGACGCATGAACACTTCTTCCAGCAGCTTCGGGAAGTGCTGACCGATGACTGCCCGTAACTTGCATGCGATGTCGTTGTGTCTTCAGTGCTGCAAGGTGCTTCAGGTTGTGCTGCAATGCTTCAGTGGCACAGTTTGCCCCAATTCCTTTTTCAAGTCAGGCGCATATTTGTGGAAGTTGCGTTGCAGCCGGCTGCTGGTCCTATGATGAGCCTCAGATGCTTGAGACAGCTTCAGGCCTTCATTCCAAAAAACAGAAGCCGAAACCGACTTGAGGAATTGGTCTTCCACATCATTGTGGCTGCGCTACTTTAACCATTCGGGAATGGTTCTGGCTATCGACCCAGTGAACGACTTCCTCAAGCATCATGCGGATGCATTGCAGAAGGACTGAACAGAGTGACCGCAGCCTTCAGTCGAGAAGTGATGTGGAGCCGGCCAGGAGCCATGGGTATCAGCAACCAGGTCTATGAAGGTGCAACATGGTGCGACAAGTAAACTGTTTGCTTCTACAATAAGGTCTTCAGTGGCTTGAGAGTCAACTGGTCAATGAACGGATGTTCCTTTCCTTTGTGCTTCGTAAGATCGATCGAGCTAACGGATTCCAAAGCTGAGACGCATCCATGTAACGTTACGAGTCAATGACTAAAAAAGCGAAAGTGGTCGAATTGTGCATGAGGAATGATTCGCTAGTGTGGCAGACGCGACAGCCCACACCTGGGGGAAGTCAAGAACGGAAGGGAACATATGAGCAGAAGTCAGAAGTATAGACAAACTAGAGACGGGCCGTGAAAAAGATGTAAACCAAGACAGACAAGAGTACAAGAGTGACGATTTCCAAAGTAGTTAGAGAGTGTGGTGCCCGCTGCCAAAAAACTGCACCACGAAGTCTTGGAGTCAGGAGTCTCCATACATTCCACGTACGCTCCCTCACGATCCATAACTTATATTGTCTTAGAATGTCTTAGAGTTTTAATGCAGACTTTATGGAAGGAAGCAACAGCGCCAGCGTCTGGGACGGCATGTGGGCACGCCTGATTGGATTTGCGGCATCCAGTTCAAAAGTCGAACAAATGAGAACTGTCATCATGATTGTCCACTCCTGAATCCTCGATGAGAGGTGGAGCACATGCACGCTAGCCTGGGCACAACAGATGGAGCGGACGGGCAGGCTTCCACCTCGGTGACTTAATTACCGTGCTTTCCCTTGCGCCTTAGCCTTCAGGTGTTCTTGAGTTGTTCCAGCAGGCAACCTCAAAGGAAGACGGTGGCCGTGCTGACTCTCAAGACGAGGCAACCATTCCTTCCACAACAAAATGCTGTTAATTGTGGGTCGAGCCATTCTTTTCCCCACATCTAGTTTCCTGCCGTTGGATGGACTTGGACTGCACTATTCTACCTGCCCGCAGGTCAGAAGACTTTGCGAAACCGGCCCTGCAATAGACACTGCGGATCATCCGTGCTTCTACATTCGCAGGATTGGATATTTGTTGTGTGACAGAAACAACTCCAATTTACTGTATGCTATTCTGTAGGCGCGATTCTTGGCCTCAGCTGGACTTCCATTCGCCTACCCTGACGTTTGATACCATATGGAAACGTTCTTTGGGTTCTGCGCTTAAAGCATGTTGACACTGCTCATGTGTTGATGCTGGAGTGGACTATGCTTGAGGTGGTAAGCACATTGACTTTCTGGACATCGGCTCAAATTTTGCTCGTTTGTGCCTTGACAACATCAGCATGCATGTGGCGCTTCAAGTTTCAATCGCAAAGAATAATCATCGCATTTGTTTGGATCTGAGGCTGAAGGGATTCTCAAAATCTATCTCTGCCAGAGCATTCACTGTGATTGCTTTTCAAGTCAATCAAAGATGGACAAGGGCAGAGCTTCAACAGGTGGTGGCATATTTGGACAAGTTTGAGTACTTCTCAATGTTTCCTTTGGTTTGTGCAAGGCTTAGCCTGTGAATGAAAGGCAGAAAGAATCTGACCCCACAGAATGTGAGATCCTCTCTGAGGCAAAGACAGCAGCCAAGTGGGCACTTTTGATTACTATGGTCCGGGTGGAGAGAAAGTTGGACCAACAACATATCTCCCTGTTAGCTCCACTGACATCAATGTGATTGACTGGGAGAAGATGCCATTTCCACAGGATGTTATTTCGTTGGATCTTCGACAACCCGAAATTTTCAAGATTATCCAACTTGGTGATGCACAGTGCGATTCTGAGGATGATTCAGTGTGTGGTTCAGATGATGAGCAGTGCAGAGCAGGAGATGCAGCAACTTCAAGACCACCTGAGCGTCCACAGTTGTTCAGGGTGAGCAAATCTGGTTCAAGGTCCATTACCCTTGAGTGGAGGCCATTTACCCCGAGGTTTGCATAGTTAAGCTTCCCTAAAAATCTAGGAACCAAATCATCAGCGTGAGCTCGCCTGCGTCCTGTAGTTAGTAGCCATTTAAACTACTAGCTACCTTTGTAGCTACTACCTACCTCTCTTAGCGGCCTACCCCCCTGAAAAAGATATAATAAAAGACCCAAACCGTGGAGGCCACACCCCGATGGGCCAACACCAGATAGTTATTTGCTGCGGCTGGAGCCTGGAGCGCTTGAAGAAACCATTGACCATGATACATTTGATGCATTGAGCAGTTTGCAATCATACACAATCAACGGCTTGCGGCCTAGTGTGGAGTATACTATCAGCTTGCGTGCTTTAGGCATTGGAGGAGAAAGTAGCAAAGTGACTCTTTCTCATCGCACAGAACTGGAAGAGGTTCCTTCACTTGATTCCTTCACTTCATATGATATCATTGAGGGTATGCATTGTGGCATGGGTGCTGCAGAGGAAGTTCAGCCTGCAGGTCCGAGCCCGTCAGGTGCTTCATATTTCCCTGGGGTTGGTGACGTTAAAGGCTGTCAGATCCGCTGTGAAGGCAACAGGCAATGCATTGCCTTTCAGGTTCATGAAGGAAACGCTTGTTGGCTTTACAGGCGGAAACCAGATCGACGCTTGGGACGATCAGATTTCGGTTGGTGGTGCGCCGTTCGAAAGTCGTAAACATTTGACAGAGGAATGGCAGTGCGTTGACAGCCTGTTTGCTTTCTGGAAAATTGGCAGTCCGACAGAGTGACGAGTCATCAAAAATTGTTTGTTCCGATCAATCCTCTTCTGTGCAGGCTGTTCGCCCTGCTTGGGAAGCAGGAGATATACCAGCGTTCGTGAGACACTTGGAGGTGGGCAACTGTTGGCTATCTACAGCAACTGTCACTGTTTTGGAGATTCTATGATAATTCTATGAGTTTGTGGGTGGGAAACAAGTACTCTATATATAATATTACAGTACAATGTTATTTTTGCACTCTCCGCGCAGCTTGCCCTTTGGGCAAGGCCTGCACAGACAATGCTTTGCCCGCCGCTTTCCTTAGCCGATTTGCCAAGTGCATCCGATGTGTTTAGCGCGTTCTTGGCCACCTTTGCGAAAGTCCCCGCATCTTTATGTTGTCCCTGCATTAGTTTTATAGCCAGGCAGCCCGATCCGCTGCCTCCTGGAACTTTAGCAAGGTTGCGCACAGCTGACACAAAGATCCTATACCTGTACGTGTGGTCTTGGCCTGCACAGGCTCTTGCCACTGGCGCAAAAATTGGCGCAGGTGAACTGTGAGGCACGAGCCTGGCGTAAAACTTTAGAGCGCTTTGCCATGCTGGGCTTCTCGTAGGAACATGCGGTGGCAGCCGTACGCTTTGCACTGCACTTGCTCAACGCATGGCTCTCGATGAACTGCTTTCCTTTTTGTCCTTCCTCTTGTCCTGTAAGTTTGGATTACTTGTCTTGTGCCTACGAGCCTGTTTCTGAAGCCAAACTGGCAGGTCTCGTGGCCGGGAGTTTCCAAAGCGCTAAAGAGTGTTGCGACTCCACAGGTTCTGTCCTTTGCGAAGTCCTTGCAGCTGTGGACATTGGTATTTTTATTCAAAACATTTCATCTTGCGAGGGTCTTTCCAGAGCTTGCGATGAAGTGGTTTTGCAGCTTCAGTCTTTGTGCGCTCAACCGCTCAACGGTGCCATTTACTGGTATTCGACTGTAATATATACCATAGTGCAATAATACAGTGTTGATTTAGTTGTCACTTGTATGTCAAGGTACTCGGTGATCAAGGCGCTCTCGCGCTCCGTCAAGATCTCCAAAACAAACGGCCCACTTGCTTGGGCCTTGGCCGAACTTGTTCAAAGAAGCAGAACATGAAAAAGAGTTGAGGGGAAGGATGGGAAGGGTAGGCTGCCAAGAAGGGAGAGAAGTTTCGGGGGGAGAAGCTTCCATGAAGAATCCTTCGCACTGAAAGGTTTTGCGTCACAACCTAATAGCGATGGCCTCCGACCTAACAGCCATGGCCTCTGTCTTTTAGGTTCCTTTGTGCAAGAAGCTCAAAATTAGTTTGGAGGAGGCCCCTTGCGCTTTTGAGAGAGCTGTGCACAAATTTGATGGTGCCTAGATTCTGATTCCCAACATGATTTCCGACCCCCCCGCCACATTCTTCTATTCTTCCAGCTTTAACTTTTGTCAGTGCGAATCAGTGAGTGGGAGGCCCTAACAAGTGTCGGCCGCCTCCGGAGTTGAGTGAGCATTTTGCACCTGAGCGAGTACAATGGTGGGGCTGCTCCGTCAGGGAAAAGGCACCAGAGCGAATTGCGCGCTTCGTTCAGACTTAAGCTCTGTTGCACAGAATTGCCGCACAGCCGTTTGCTTCTGACTGGCTTGAGTTCCACTTCCATTTCAGCATCTTCCCTGCCCATGCATCGAAATCGAAATGATGAACGTAAGTTGTCTACTGTACATAGTCCCAGAATCCAATTGATACTCCTGACCAACTTGGATTGATAGCA